TCGCCTCATGGGGAAGATCAGTCCATATGCGAGGAAGGATTCATGCAGCGTTGTTATATTTTATTCACCTGTAATGCTGATCATCAGATGTGAAGTTAACGTTTTAATTTTTAATATTTGAGGGATATTTTTCACATAAAAAACATCCGCATCTTCTTGACTTCAAGGTGTTGATGGTCTGTGTGCACACCCATGTGGGGAATCGAACCCGGGTCTTCGGCGTGACGAGCTAACAATTAAACCACTCGGCTACCCCACCGCCCCACAATACATGAAGAAGGCGTATATGTACAGTACAGGCGTTGCATGTGAAAGCAACATACCATTGTATCCAGGAAGACTATGGTGGCTGTTGCTGGGTGCTGTCTGTGCTATGATTTCCTTCAGTTTATCAGTCCTTATCAACCTGCTCTTAGAGCAATGCATATCAAACAATTTGCTTTATCGATATTCTTTTTAACATTTCTGTTTACCTGAACTATTTTCCTTGGTGATTTGGGTGTTGTCCGATTGGGGACGGATAACGTTAAGGGGCGGTGGGGTAGTCCAATGGTTTAAACGTTTGCTCGTCAAGCTGAAATCCCTGGTTCGATACTTCACAGGGTTAAAATGTCCTTTTTGAGTGTCCGTGATACCGCTGAAATATTGCTAAAACTCACTTAACACACCCGCTTCGGTATATGCAATAGCTTAGGGGAGGTAACTGTCTTTGACGTAAGAGGCACATCACGTGGATATTACTAGGCAATTTTCATGCTTTACTTAACACGGGTGCCGTGTTGTTACTCCTTCTTCGTTATTTCCTTTCATCACACAGTTTAATGTAGGCACACTAGTCCCCCTCGATACCAGTGAACAACTTATATTATATGTTTTCATTCTTCCCCACTGCAAAGTGTTTGGCAATATAGGAAATACTTAATTGTATTGTCTTTTTATACTGGCAAGTTGATCATACAGTTTAATATACATTCGTATCTGAACGATTGCTTAGAATAGTTATTGTATTTTAAAAGATGACAGAAATAGCAGAATGCGTTTACCCCGGACGTGATGATAGAGAGCAGATGAAGTCAATAATTTATTACTTCTTTAGTCAACCAAGTAATCTTTATCGACCAACAGAAAGCACTCGAGACAAATTGAAAACATGGTGTTTTAAAAGATATGCATGAATTTGGATTGAACAGCAAATTACATTCCTTTATATCTCACTAAGAACGATTTCATCTTCGAGTGGGTTCCATCCTGTCCAATTATTGTAGTCACGATTAATAGTCATATTAATAGTATTACTACAGCTTTAAACATGTGTGTTGATGGCTCACATTTTGTCGATGATTTCAACATGTCATCTCGTGGTAGGTCTTTTTTTTCTTTGGGATCCAAAGATGGTGGCCAAGATGTCAGTGTCTCAGCCAACTCTCTCCTAAATAATGGCAGATAATAGTTCAATCTTCAATAATGAGGTCAATGCTATATTTACAACGTCAACCTATATTTCAGAACAAAGCATTCCTTTAAGATATCATTTTATTCAGATTCATTACTTCAAAGAGTCTGATCACCCTATCATTCTCACCATGTTACAGCTGTACAGAGAACTTTCTACTGGCCATAACTGCATCGTCCTTTACTGGCCACCATGTTGGCATTGCCGGAAACACAAACTGTGGATGTTGTATTTGAATCTTACAAACCTTTATCGAAATTGTTTACCGCTTACAGTGATTTCAAGCCAAGTATATAAGGTTATAATCGGCATCATTTGCAAAAATGATGGGACACCCAGGTGGGAATCAATAACCTTCAATGAATTCAAACCAATTCAGTCAGTCATATCTACTGCGGTTGTTTGTCAAGACATGATGAGGTCTATGAGGTTTTGTTCATGGCGTAACACATCTGGCACACTTTAAACAACAAGATTCGTATTAGTTTACAAAGAACGGGTGTATTTAAATGCAGTACAACTATGTGAATTTACGCAGAGTCCGAAAGTGACTACCATGGAAAGGTGGCGATGTCAGGCTGACACTTGGGCAGGAGATAGCCTCGATTGGCTGATCAGTGCTCTTACGTTCTTGTCCAGGCTTGTCTATCCTGTCTGATGTTTTATGTGCAGATGGACGATTGACAACCTTTGAAGGTCTGCGATTCTCATGAACAGGCTGACACTTGGGCAGATAGCTGGTCAGTGTTCGTCCCTCCTTGTCCAGGATTGCCTTCTGACGATCTATCCGCGCTCTTCCCATTGTCTGCCGGCTATCCCTTTGTTTGTCTATCCTGTCCCGACTGAGAATTTGCTTAGGTCTGCGATTCTCATGAACAGAATCTGCTTGTATCACCTTGACATGTATCTGACAAATGTACATGACAAATAGTGTTACATTTACTCACGAATGCCTGCTTAAAATAGACGACGACGCCCATCAGAGTGTAGCTTAAGATGAAAGGATCACCATGAAGCATGTTTTGCATGACTGTGTGGAATTGTAGTTGCAGTTGCAAGGTATTCACATTGTGAAGCACTTAAAATGAAGGATTTGTTTACCAATATGCTAATTACTTGAACACGACTACTCGGTTTCTAAACTATAAATATGTACTTGACAATTTTGGCTCTTGGTCGTGTTTCAAATTGGAAACTAAACCGCTTTTTTTGCCCGTGTTTTAAATCGTAATTAAGATTGTAATCTTAATATATATAATTTGCTCGCGTATGCAATGGACATGTGCATATGTATCAACGTGGTCTCACCAACATGGCGGAAGTAATGCTAATGCGTTAAATATTAACTCTAACTATTAACATGTTCTGAAACTAGCAATAAGTATAATCTGCGTAAATCCTGTTTACAGGACAGGCTTTTAGTTTTTATTCACCTGTAATGCTGATCATCAGGTGTGAAGTTAACGTTTTAATTTTTAATATTTGAGGGATATTTTTCACATCAAAAACATCCGCATCTTCTTGACTTCAAGGTATTGATGGTCTGTGTGCACAGAGCGTTCAAAGTAATTGCTCATTCAGGCTGCCATTATACCCAGACACCATATCTGGGTTGTTTTTGTGAAATATAGTCTCCCGGTTTTTTAAAGTGAGTGGGAAAATGATGCATTTACTGAAACCATGTGTGTTAAAATTAATATAACTGTTCCAATAACGGTAAGGTAAATCTAGGGGTACAGTGTTCTGGTGTATGGAGGAGTACAGTGTACTTGAGAATGGATGGGTAGAGTTTACTGGTGTATGGAGGGATACAGTGTACTGGAGAATGAATGGGTAGAGGTTACTGGTGTATGGAGGGTACAGTGTACTGGTGTATGGAGGAGTACAGTGTACTGGAGAATGGATGGGTACAGCTTACTGGTGTATGGAGGGGTACAGTGTTCTGGAGAATGGATGGGTACAGTTTACTGGTGTATGGAGGGGTACAGTGTACTGGAGAATGGATGGGTAGAGTTTACTGGTGTATGGAGGGGTACAGTGTACTGGAGAATGGATGGGTACAGTGTACTGGTGTATGGAGGAGTACAGTGTACTGGAGTAATGGAGGTACAGTGTACTGGTGTATGGAGGGTACAGTACTGGTTACTGGATGGACATGGATGGGGTACAGTTTACTGGTGTATGGAGGGGTACAGTGTACTGGAGAATGAATGGGTACAGTGTACTGGTGTATGGAGGAGTACAGTGTACTGGTGTATGGAGGGGTACAGTGTACTTGAGAATGGAGGGGTAGAGTTTACTGGTGTATGGAGGGGTACAGTGTACTGGTGTCTGGAGGGGTACAGTGTACTGGTGTATGGAGGGGTAGAGTGTACTGGTAGTGACGGGGTACAGGTTACTAGTGTATGGAGGGGTACAGTGTACTGGTAGTGACGGGGTACAGGTTACTAGTGTATGGAGGGGTAGAGTGTACTGGTAGTGACGGGGGTACAGGTTACTGGTGTATGGAGGGGTAGAGTGTACTGATAGTAACGAGGGTACAGGTTACTGGTGTATGGAGGGGTACAGTGTACTGGTAGTGACGAGGGTACAGGTTACTGGTGTATGGAGGGGTAGAGTGTACTGGTAGTAACGAGGGTACAGGTTACTGGTGTATGGAGGGGACAGTGTACTGGTAGTGACGGGGGCACAGGTTACTGGTGTATGGAGGGGTAGAGTGTACTGGTAGTGACGGGAGTACAGGTTACTGGTGTATGGAGGGTAGAGTGTACTGGTAGTAAGGGGGTACAGGTTACTTGTGTATGTAGGTGTACAAAGTGCTGGTAGTGACGGGGGTACAGGTTACTGTTGTATAGAGGGGTAGCGTGTACTGGTAGTGACGAGGGTACAGGTTACTGGTGTATGGAGGGGACAGTATACTGGTAGTGACGGGGCTACAGATAACTGGTGTATTGAGGGTTAGAGTGTACTGGTAGTAACGGGGTACAGGTTACTGGTGTATGTAGGTGTACAAAGTGCTGGTAGTGACGGGGGTACAGGTTACTGGTGTATGGAGGGGTAGAGTGTACTGGTAGTAAGGGGGTACAGGTTACTTGTGTATGTGGGTGTACGAAGTGCTGGTAGTGACGGGGGTACAGGTTACTGTTGTATAGAGGGGTAGCGTGTACTGGTAGTGACGAGGGTACAGGTTACTGGTGTATGGAGGGGACAGTGTACTGGTAGTGACGGGGCTACAGATTACTGGTGTATTGAGGGTTAGAGTGTACTGGTAGTAACGGGGTACAGGTTACTGGTGTATGTAGGTGTACAAAGTGCTGGTAGTGACGGGGGTACAGGTTACTGGTGTATCGAGAGGCACAGTGTACTTCTCCTTTTCCATTTCTGCAATGCTAATTCCCTTAAAGAAGTAAGTTTCCTCAGGTTCGAAATCTCCCACTCACTTTCTTTGCAAGTGTAAGAAATTGTTTGTTTCCATCAAACTCATATGTATGTAGAGACTAAACGATAGCCTAGACATCGCTGTGAGGAGCTTGAACAGTGCTTCGGAAACACAACTATATATAGCAAAGCTACGATGTTGATTTTCTCGACTCTCGGCTCGTCCACGCATTGTCCAAAGATACAAGCAATCAGTAAGTGTCGACGCCTTTATGCTTGTTTGTCATCATAACTAAATCTCTATTACATGTCGGTTTGAACTCGAAAACGTATAGGACAGAATATATATGTGGTGTAGGTGACTGTGAAAATGAAACTAGCGTAATGGCGATAATAGCAGGAAGTACAACTTCAAATAAGTTTTGTTAGATCGAGTTTGTTAGAGAATGGCAAAACATGTTCAGTAAATGAGACACAAAGTCAGTTATCGCCAAAAGTTAATACAGAATTAATATCTGGAGACAAATAGAGTGTTGTAATTTTCCAGAAGTCATTCTGTAAAATGACACAGGACCAAGAGTGTGTTATACTTTTTCACATGTATGAGTAGTACAGTGTTCTGGTGTATGGATGGGTAGAGTTTACTGGTGTATGGAAGGGTACAGTGTACTCGTGAATGGAGGGGTACAGTGTACTGGTGTATGGAGGGGTACAGTGTACTGGAGTATGGAGGGGTACAGTGTTCTGGTGTATGGATGGGTAGAGTTTACTTGTGTATGGAGGGGTACAGTGTACTGATGAATGGAGGGTAGAGTTTACTGGTGTATGGAGGGGTACAGTGTACTTGAGAATGGATGGGTAGAGTTTACTGGTGTATGGAGGGGTACAGTGTACTGGTGTATGGAGGGATACAGTGTACTGGTGTATGGAGGAGTACAGTGTACTTGAGAATGGATGGGTAGAGTTTACTGATTTATGGAGGGGTACAGTGTAGTGGTAGTGACGGGGGTACAGGTTACTGGTGTATAGAAGTGTACAAATTACTGGTAGTGACAGGGGTACAGGTTACTGGTGTATAGAAGTGTACAAATGACTGGTAGTGACGGGGGTACATGTTACTGATGTATGGAAGTGTACAAATTACTGGTAGTGACGGGGGTACAGGTTACTGGTGTATGGAAGACTACAAATTACTGACTGGTAGTGATGAGGGTACAGGTGACTGAGGTGACCGTGTACTGTTAGTTACTGGCTACCGGGGAATGGAAGGGACAGTGCACTGGCAGTAACATGTTACCGGTGTATGGAGGGGGCAGTGTACTGGTAGTAACAGGTTACCTGTGTATGGAGGGGGCAGTGTACTGGTACTGACAGGGTGCCGGTGTATGGAGGTGACAGTGTACTGGTACTGACAGGTTACCAGTGTATGGAGGGGGCAGTGTACTGGTAGTGAGAGGTTACTGGTGTATGGAGGGGACAGTGTACTTGTAGTGACAGATTACTGGTGTATGGAAGGGACAGTGTACTGGTAGTGAGAGGTTACCGGTGTAAGGAGGGACGCAGAGTTCTGGTAGTGACAGGTTACCGGCATAAGGAGGGGACAGTTTACAGGTTACCGGATACTGCTACTGGCCGTATGAAGAAACAAGGCAGGTAATTCGGATTTACCCTGGTTCCTGTTCGAGCCAGCCTGCACGGTTATGTAAGTATAATGAAACTAAGTAAAAAATTAATCAAAATCAGCCAATGTATTAGCCTACATGTATACTAGTTCGCTTGACCTAGAGCGCTTGCGGACCTGTCTGCAGGCGCTCGAATACAAAAGCAGGTTACCAGTCGACAGTCTTGGGAAAGGTACCAGAATCCGCTACACTAAATCAGAATTACTTGCTCGCTGAGCCAGTGCGTTTGTAAACAACTGAAGAGATAGAGACATGTGACAGTTGTGATTGGATTAAATAGTGTAAGATGTTTATGGATTTGGTTTTGAAAATCACATCCATCCAGTAATTAAAACTTTAAAACTGACCACAATTTTAAGTATTTAGTGCTGTCATTTTTAACACCATGACTTATGCTTATGTGTGTACAGATATTTTCAAATAGGTGACATTTGGTGCGGAACTGGGGTTGATGTGTTCAGCTTCCTGTTCTAGGAAAGTTAGCCGGAAATTGTGTTCTTTTTGTAGTTTAAAGGCCAGGCTTTACCCATGTGTACATGGAATGGCCGTTGAAAAATCTAAATATAACGGTATTATAGACGTCTATGGGAAAACATCTGGCGTTGTCTCACCACTAGCGAGACCAAGCTAAAACTACGGACAACCGGTCTGCACCAGTGCTGCGGGGGAGTTTCTCCATACTATCACTGGCGAGCCACCAGTAAGACATCCCTGTGAGGAGCCACAATACTGTGTCGCAAAGACAGCTATATTTAGCACGTGGCTTTCCTGCCGTATTGAAGGTTGTCTCGACTGTGGGCTTGTCAACTTATTTCCTGAAGATAACAGCAACCAGGAAATGTAGGCGGATTTAGACATGTTTGTAATCTTCACTATATCACAATTAAATGTCGGGTTTATCTCGAGAACGACTAGGACAGTGTGTATTGTAATATACAGTGTAGGTGGCTGTGACAACGAAAGTAGCAATATAATGTCGGGTAGTACAGCTACAAGTATGTGTGTTACAAAAAGGTAAAATTCACATGAACAAATAGGTTACTGTAGGAACTAATAACAATCATGTGTTACATGTGTTTGTAATCATTCTCACACATGGGGCGGGGTGGATACAGGTGAAACCGGTTTAGTTCCGTACAAACACCCAATAGGCCCATATATGTCATATCAAAGGGGTTGACCATGGTCGATCTTTTTCGCACTGAACTTGAAAATATTTCTTGTTTTAATCTACGTATATGATATCAACCGGCGTAGCTCAACATGACCAGTAGACCGGTGACCTTTAACCATCAACATATTGCTTTACATGATTCGGTGGAGCACTGCTTGGATCAGCACATGCATTCTCACAAATGAAACAAACATCACTATTCATACTGAGTGAGTGTATATTTTTACGCCGCTTTCAGCAATATTCCAGCTATATCACGGCGGGGGACACCAGAAATGGGCTTAACACATTGTATCCATGTGGGGAATCGAACCCGGGTCTTTGGCGTGACGAGCCAACGCTTTAACCACAAGGCTACCCCACCGCCCTGTTCATGGTGAAGATATGTTCCTAACAGGTTCTGATTGTCGAGTCCTTTTCTAATGATATTGGCATGACATTTGGACTCGACAAATGTAATACTCTTCATTTGAAACGTGGCAAGGTAGTTTATTGTGGATCGGTCAAGTTACATTGGGGAGGAGTTATTGAGCATCTTGTGGAAGATCAGGCCTTCACCTATCTTGGAATGCAAGTTCGAGACAAGCTCCAGAATGCCCAGATTCAAGACAAACTTCGGGACGAGTACAAATCTCGCTTAAAGAAAATCTGGAGTTCAGAGCTAAATGCTCGAAACATGGTCAAAGCCACCAATACTTTTGCTGTGCCAGTCCTTTCCTATTCCTTTGGAGTAGTTGATTGGACAAAACAAGACATCCATAGTCTTGACCGTCTGACCAGAAGGATCATGTCTGATAACAGAGCCCACCACCTTCGTTCCTCTCTCAACCGTTTATACATGCCAATCAATTCTGGAGGTCGGGGTTTGATTAATGTGGAGGCTCTTCATGATAGAATATTGTGTACTTTTGCACATATTTATTTATCGGATGATCCTCTGGTGATGCATGTGAAGACTCATGATGAAAGCAAGGAATTCCACAGCTATTTTAAGCGTGCCAAGGTTATTGGACAGAATCTGAAATTTGAGGTTGACTTTGTTGATGGCGATGTACTGCTGGACGGTACAGCGATGGGAGTAAAGCAGGTGCAGTCCTTCTCCAAGTCTGCTCAGAGTCGGTCATTTGTGGAGAAGCTTTCTGAGAAGCCATTGCATCGTGTGTATATGCAGTGTGTGGAACAGAATAGCAATCCAACCGACTCCTTGGCCTGGATGAAGTCGGCTGGTTTCAAACGTGAAACTGAGGTCTTCCTTTTTGCTGCTCAGGACCAGTGGCTTCCCACTCGCAATCGCCTAAATGTGATTCTTAAAGAAAATATTTGCATGAAAAGTCGATTGTGCAATGAATTTACAGAGACTGTCCAACACATTGTCAGTGGATGCTCTTCCTTGGCACAAACAGCATATCTTAAACGACATGATGGGATGGCTCGCTGCTTTAACTATCATCTTCGCGATGCCTGTGGCTTTGATTCCGAGGTCCATCCACTGCACGACTCTGAACATGTCCAGGGCGTCATGGAAAATGATGCTTTCAAGCTTCTGTGGAATAGGCCCATATACAGCCTCAGAGGAATTCCTGCCTAAAACCTGATCTTGTCCGTTTTGATAAAGCCAATGAATGTATTTATATCATTAAATTTTCTGTCCCTTTTGACAGCAACGTGATTGGAAAGATTCAGGAAAAGCATGCTAAATATGCAGACCTCGCCTTTGAAATGGCTCACTTGCATCCCAAATACACTGTCGTCAGACTCCCCATTGTTCTCGGTCCCCTTGGTTTGGTACCTCCTTTTGACATAATAATGTTTCAGAAAAATGCTATCATTTTGTGTTAAACAAATAATAGAATACAAAATAACACTTTAAATGTTCGTGATAATAGTTTTAACATCATGTCAGATTAAATCGGTGTAAAAGCTGCGTCTGTCTCATCTTTAAAAGATTTTTCGGAATTATATTACAAAATCGTTATTCTGATTAAGAAGTGGTAACGGTCAACCTATTAATTACTTATGTATCAATTGAAAGGTCAGTTGAAATATTTGAGGATGCTTGTTTGCATTGAGATGTTATTTCAACAACAAAAAATTGAGGAGTTTGATTTTACTGTAAAAAGGAATTGAAAATCCTACTAATTTTGAAAATGGCCCATAGATAGATATAGATAGATCGATGGAAAGACAGATAGACAAATACGCGTGAGTGTGCATTTGTATGCGTGTGGTTTAAATATTTCACAGTAAACATATGTTCAGAACTGATCAATATCAGCAGTCTCTTACTATCTTTATTGGGTTCAGATTAATTTATATCCTTTTGATTGAACAGAGATAGGCAAGTGAAATAACGACTACACACTGTCTGAGTAGTTTGGCATATATTATCCTTTATGGATCGGGAGTGTAGCACATAGTCATAATCATCATAAGTCTCAGCAGATCATATCATCTACATAGACAATTCGTAATTAATATCCCGGTGTGTATGTGTGTGTGCTTGTTCATGTGTGAGTGAGGGGGTGCGGGGAAGGATGTGGAGAGGATTGATGGAATGTTCTTGTAGTTCAAACCCTTTATACCAAATGATGAGTGAGATACTAGAGGGAGGGAGGCAACGAGAGGCAGAGAAATTGGGAACGAGGGATATCAAGAGAGAGAGAGAGAGAGGGAGAGAGAGAGGGGAGAGGAAGCAAGAGTGAGACAGAGAGTGAGAGTGCTAACTTTGGATAAAACATTGGGAGACGGTTGAGTGGGGTGGGATTAAGGAGAGAGAGAGGGGGGACCGAGGGGAGAGAGGAAGAGAATAATGGAGACAGGGAGAGACAGATCAGGAAGAGAGACAGATCAGGACGCAGAGAAAGAAAGGAGGGGGAGAGGAAGGGAGAGAGTAAGATGTGGAATGTTGGAAGATTGGGATTGAGAGAAAGAGGGAGGGAGAAAGGATCGAAAGTCATGAAGAGAGATTCCTACTTCCTGCGCGCGGATATCACAAAATGAAAGACGTTGTACACGTGTAGGCGTTTCTGTTGTAGGATGAGGATGAGTTCACACAGAGAAGACACTGATAACAAATGAAAAGGGAAGGATGTGCAAAGTTTAGAATTTGAACAATATACTTGGGAGCTGAACAGAAGCAGAATGGAAGAAGGGCAAAGATCGATGGGTGGTAGTGACATAGAGATTGGGGGATGTACTCCAGCAGACACGCCATCAGACGGGGAACATTTGGGATGTACAGGTATTGCCACTTGCAAGCCATACGGAGCAAGTGAAGAAGCAGGCATGGAGTATGCTGAAAACAGGGTTGTTGATGAAGAGAAAGACGGACTTCGTGTTGGCACAGAGGAGGAAGAAGGGGATGGGATACAAAACAAGTCACCACCTGGAGCAGGTACTATAGCGGTCAAATTCCAGACTGTTCACCAACAGTCACACCAGATTGTAGATAAAGGTATGTGTCATACCAACGTGTAGATAAAGGTAAATGTCACACCAACTTGCAGATAAAGGTAGTCTCATACCAACTTGTAGGTAAAGGTATGTGTCACATCAACTTGAGGTAAAGGTATGTGTGATACCAACTTGTAGGTAAAGGTATGTGTCATACCAACTTGTAGGTAAAGGTATGTGTCATACCAACATGTAGATAAAGGTAGTGTAATACCAACTTGTAGGTTAAGGTAGGTGCCATACCAACTTGTAGAAAAAGGTATGTATCACAACCACTTATAGGGGTTAAGGTATGTGTCACACCAACTTGTAGAAAAAGGTATGTGTCATACCAACTTGTAGATAAAGGTATGTGTCATACCAACTTGAGGTAAAGGTAGGTGCCATACCAACTTGAGGTAAAGGTATGTGTCACACCAACTTGAGGTAAAGGTATGTGTCATACCAACTTGGGGGTAAAGGTATGTGTCACACCAACTTGTAGGTAAAGTTATGTATCAGGCCACTTATAGGGGTTAAGGTATGTGTCATACCAACATGTAGAAAAAGGTATGTGTCATACCAACTTGCAGATAAAGGTATGAGTCACACCAGCTTGAAGTAAAGGTATGTGCCATATCAACTTGTAGGTAAAGGCATGTGACACAAAAACTTGAGGTAAAGGTATGTGCCATACCAACTTGTAGGTAAAGGTAGGTGCCATACTAACTTGTAGGTAAAGGTATGTGTCATACCAACTTGTAGGTAAAGTTATGTATCACACCAACTTGTAGGTGTTAAGGTATGTGTCATACCAACTTGTAGGTAAAGGTATGTATTACAACCACTTATAGGGGTTAAGGTATGTGTCACACCAACTTGAAGAAAAAGGAATGTGTCATACCAACTTGTAGGTAAAGGTAGGTGTCACACCAACTTGTAGGTGAAGGTATGCGTCACACCAACTTGTAGGAAAAGGTATGTGTCACACCAACGAGTAGGTAAAGTTATGTATAACAACCACTTATAGGGGTTAAGGTATGTGTCACACCAACTTGTAGAAAAAGGTATGTGTCACACCAACTTGAGGTAAAGGTATGTGTCATACCAAGTTGTAGGTAAAGGTATGTGTAATACCAGCTTGTAGGTTAAGGTATGTGTCACACAAACTTGTAGAAAAAAGGTATGTGTCATACCAACTTGTAGATGATGGTTTGTGTCACACTAACTTGTAGGTAAAGGTATGTGTCATACCAACTTGTAGGTAAAAGTAGGTGTCATACCAACTTGTAGGTTAAAGTATGTGTCACACAAACTTGTAGAAAAAGGTATGTGTCATACCAACTTGTAGGTGAAGGTATGTGTCACACCATTTGTAGGTAAAGGTATGTATCACACCAACTTGTAGGTGTTAAGGTATGTGTCACACCAACTTGTAGGTAAAGGTATATGTCATACCAACTTGTAGATAAAGATAGGTGTCATACCAACTTGTAGGTGAAGGTATGTGTCACACCAACTTGTAGGTAAAGGTATGTGTCATACCAACTTGTAGGTAAAGTTATGTATCACAACCACTTATAGGGGTTAAGGTATGTGTCACACCAACTTGTAGAAAAAGGTATGTGTCATACCAACTTGTAGATAAAGGTAGGTGTCACACCAACTTGTAGGTGAAGGTATGTGTCACACCAACTTGTAGGTAAAGGTATGTGTCACACCAACGTGTAGGTAAAGTTATGTATCACAACCACTTATAGGGGTTAAGGTTTGTGTCACACCAACTTGTAGAAAAAGGTATGTGTCACACCAACTTGAGGTAAAGGTATGTGTCATACCAACTTGTAGGTACAGGTATGTGTCATACCAACTTGTAGGTTAAGGTATGTGTCACACCAACTTGTAGAAAAAGGTATGTGTCATACCAACTTGTAGGTTAAGGTATGTGTCACACCATTTGTAGGTAAAGGTATGTGTCACACCAACTTGTAGGGGTGAAGATATGTGTCACGCCAACTTGTAGGTAAAGGTATGTGTCACACCAACTTGTAGGTAAAGGTAGGTGTCACACCAACTTGTAGGGGTTAAGGTATGTGTCACACCAACTTGTAGTGGTGAAGGTATGTGTCACACTAACTTGTAGGTAAAGGTATGTGTCACACCAACTTGTAGGGGTGAAGGTATGTGTCACACCAACTTGTAGGGGTAAAGGTATGTGTCACACCAACTTGTAGGGGTGAAGGTATGTGTCACACCAACTTGTAGGTAAAGGTATGTGTCACACCAACTTGTAGGTAAAGTTATGTATCACACCAACTTGTAGGTAAAGGTATGTGTCACACCAACTTGTAGAAAAAGGTATGTGTCACACCAACTTGAGGTAAAGGTATGTGTCATACAAACTTGTAGGTAAAGGTATGTGTCATACTAACTTGTAGGTTAAGGTATGTGTCACACCAACTTGTAGAAAAAGGTATGTGTCAGACCGACTTGTAGGGGTGAAGGTATGTGTCAGACCAACTTGTAGGTAAAGGTATGTGTCACACCAACGTGTAGGTAAAGGTAGGTGTCACACCAACTTGTAGGGGTTAAGGTATGTGTCACATCAACTTGTAGGGGTGAAGGTATGTGTCACACCAACTTGTAGGTAAAGGTATGTGTCACACCAACTTGTAGAAAAAGGTATGTGTCACACCAACTTGAGGTAAAGGTATGTGTCATACAAACTTGTAGGTAAAGGTATGTGTCATACTAACTTGTAGGTTAAGGTATGTGTCACACCAACTTGTAGAAAAAGGTATGTGTCAGACCGACTTGTAGGGGTGAAGGTATGTGTCACACCAACTTGTAGGTAAAGGTATGTGTCACACCAACGTGTAGGTAAAGGTATGTGTCACACCAACTTGTAGGGGTTAAGGTATGTGTCACACCAACTTGTAGGGGTGAAGGTATGTGTCACACCAACTTGTAGGTAAAGGTATGTGTTACACCAACCTGTAGGTATATGTGTGCCTGAATAATAGTTAATGATGCTGTCTTGACACATCACCGGTCACACCTTAATGAAAAATATAGTGATGTATGACAGATAGTATTTACCACTCCATTATAATTATCAAGTAATCACAGCATTGTATACTACTCACACTTTACTAAGGATCTCAAAAATTCACAACTTTACGTAGATTAATAATTTTTAATTGTATCCATTTAAAACTGGATAAATAATAATATGATAACCCTTCTTTAGGCAGACAGCCACTTTACTCAAACCTTATGCACTTGATACATGAGTAACCATAAAAATGGTTTTCATGGCACCAATTTTGCAAATCATGGATCGGGTCACTGACAACTAAACAACACCTGTCAATAGCAGGTATGGGATCCATAAGATGCAGTGACATACTGAAACCTAGGATCCATGCTTACAATAAGCTTAGATATTTAAACCATATTTGACCCCACATCATAGTTTTCTGTTGAAACCATGATTTGATCCTTAGCAAAGTGTGAATATTATATTATGTTAGCGAATACCGTTAATCCAAAGATGAGTATTGTGCACCAGTGTTGCTTTTCACGCTTTGACAGTTATCCCTGTGGTATTGTATGTATCTTCATAGCAACTTTGTGAGAGATAATATGTTCAACAGGCACTTGCTGAGAGGTCTAACATTTGAGTTTTAGAACTGTTAGGTTTGAACTGGAAGTCGGGTTCACCAGTGCCACTTTTCCCTATGGTATTGTAGGTATCTTGCTATCTTATAGTAACTTTGTTATGACGAAGGGTGGTCACTACTGAGGCTACTTGATCAAGTCAGCCTGTAACAACTTTACAAATGTAAAAAGTGTTGATAATACATCTACATGTCATTTTATCCAAATAAGTATTCATGTGACATTTGTTTCTGTTCTGTTCCAATTGTTTTGTTCCAACTCATGTCTGTTTGTCTCCTTTGTAGAAGCAAAGTCACTAGAGCAAAACATTGTGGGGTGTTGTCAGTCACCACAGGGAGAAATATCAGCAACACCACAGCAACAACAGCGACTCCATGATGATCCTGATGAAAGAACAGATCAGGCACATCTGTCCACAAGTACAACCTGTGTAGTTCAAAAGACAAGAACTCTACAGGTTCCCGGAACAACGGCCCTGACACCAGCGTCCACATCGTCTCCTCTGCCCAGAATACCAGGACCTGTTGTTTCAGACATACAGCTGTCTGAAGTGCCAATGAATGGGGATTCTCCTGCTGGTGAGTACTGTTAAATGAAAAACTAGGTTCTTATACAGTTCTGCAGTGAGTGTTGTGACTCGATAAATTAGGTAAAACCTACAATATAACATTTTCAGATATATGTACTAAAAGGATTATACCTTTTTATTTAAGGTACACCTGAGTGTTTGGTTATTTTCACAATGGAGAACGTTTCCGGGGAATTCAAGGTCCCAAACACTGTGACAGTCACGTATAGATTTGCTTTTGTCACTCATTGTTACATTAGAGCTCAGGGATACCTTTTCAACCCATTTAAACATTCGTGATGCAGCAGTATTGCTGATGCAAAGTTTGACATGTGCTTAACGTCTATGTGTCCTAGGCATGCTGCAGCCAAGCACAAGACTGATTATTTAGGTCAAAGCACCTGTCATTCAATTTGTTATCCCTTTAACTTTGGAGTTAACATGCTGATGCTTCTGTGCTTTGAATGTTTTGCAGGGGTGTACATAACCATGGAAGTGTGTTTAACCTCAGCACAAATGTTTTTCATACTCAATTCAGTTTTATAGAAGCAATGTGTACTTGGTAATCACTAATTTGAATGGTGATGGTATCACTTTTTTTCAAAATCACCAACGATATCTATAATATTTGTGACAGAGAGTCACATCGGCAATATTTCAACCATATCATGGCTAAAACTAGTTCTAAATTCATAATACATGCATAAAATATATAAAACCCTGTCAACAAAGGATAGTAAAATTAGCTGACATATATCTTTAAAAGTAGAAAACTAGTTTTGGACAATACAATGTAAAAATGAGCTATAGATCATCAGCAACTGAAGGTAGATCACCATACTAGGGACCGTAGGGTCTAACGGTGCCTTTGCTACCTGCATGGACCCTAGCTGGATTTGCACCATCCCTTCAGCGACTGGTGATTGTAGTGAAATCTAGCCATAATTTAAAATTACAAAAAATACTACTTTAAAATCCCTGGTAAGTATAAATGTACCTTGAATGTTTTGGGACTTACGTACCCCACAGGAGGACAATAATTTTACAATACTTCAACCCCCTGTGAGGATACAGCCACTAACAATCTATACTACCCATCAAAAGTTTAGACTTGCTTAAATCAATAACTATATGTTATGTATGTACATATGGTTACAACAAAGATGAATTTTTCTAATAACTTGGGGGAAACATCTGCAAACCTTTTGCAGATTAATTGCACGAGGATCATGCATCAAATTGCTGAAAAGTATGTGCAAATATCGTGCATGTTAACAGCTGCGTTTTGATGTAAAGCTTTGATAAAAAATCGCCATTTCTCACCGAGTTTCATCATTTATTGAACAAATGACAATAAAATTTTCAACGTCCCGAATTTGTTTTACAATACATCAGCTCATGTATAAACAGTACCTTTAAACTCTATGGATTATTTTACAAAATCTAGTTCAGGAGAGTTGAATGAAGTAAGTGGCTACATTTACACTAGTGAGTCTTTACTTTTGATGGGGAGTATAAGTTGCTAATTTAAACTACCCATAACAAAATATAAATCCATACACAAAACATATCAATCAAAATTTATCAAGTAATATCGATCATATGTAACACATCTATGACAGCTTCAGTCATGTGGTTTCTGTTACAGTCACACAGTACAACCTTATACAAGTACAGCAGAAGTTTGGAGATGTGACAGTGAAGGGCGCTGAGAATCTGAACATTGGCGGAACTCAGAATATCGGTACAACTCCGACCAACAAAGAGGAAGAGGAGATACCACTGACTGCAGCACAGAAGATCAGGAGTGAGTTATTTGACAAACATGTTTTCAATGATTGTACATATGGTGACAGTGTAGGTTTAACCCGGACCATTAAATAGAGAATCTCACCCAAGTGTCTACTGATATCGATTATATCAACACAAGTTGAAAATGTTACAAATAGCTCAGGCTTGCCGAGGACAGTTTTGCTTCTATCAACGACTGTTGATATACATGATAAGTGAGATTCTATTTATTTTCAAAAATCACTCGTTATTAGTTTTCAATAACGTCTCTGAACACGGTACTTCCGTTAGACTTTCAGTGCAGCGATGTCATAGCTTTGTGATGTCATCAGGTTTTTGATATCATAGCATTATGAGTCATGTAATTGATGACGTCAGGGCATTGTACAAATCTACGGTCAACATGATATCTCCTGGAAGATATCGTAATGTTAATATAAAAGAAAGAAAATATGTTTTTTGTGAAGACGATATTGAAGACGAGTTCCTTTTATTATTAGCATGCCCATATTTTAATAACTATAGAATATTATATATAAGACCATCTTACTACAGATGTCCATCAATGCATAAACTTTTTCAAGTTTTAAGTGTTAGAAATGTAAAACAGTTATGCAATTTAGGTAAATATTCGTAGAAAGCCTGCTGTCTCAGAAATGAAATGATTGCTAAATAATAAGTAGTTTTCTGTACACTATACTCAATATCTAGTCATCCACCTATACCAAGTTTCGTGTTTGTATGTATTACCGATTGTCTGTAAAGATAAAAGTAAATAAAGAATCTGAATCTGTATCTGATCTCACACAATATCTACAGTAGAACACGGTTTTGGAAGATAAAATCTGAGTACACGCCTGCAAGGGTAAGATAAAATCTGAGTACACGCCTGTTGTCTTCAACAACACATGTTTGTCGTAACTCGTGACTAATGAGATGTGGCCAATGAAACAGGGGTATTTTAGTGAGCCGCTTGGAATGAAAGTGTGGTAACTGGAGCAGCACTTCCAAGTGTAAAAAGAGAAAGGTTGTTTAACTTATATTCAGTTACTAAGACAGAAATTAACACTGACTAAACACAAATATGTAAAGGCCAGAAAAGGTTTTACTTCTCAACATTATTCAGACATCAACCTGATCAAACGATTGCCTGTCTGTGAAATTAGTGTGAAATTAGATTGGAAAAAAAACATGTGGTGAGTACATCATCAGCGTTTCACAACTTAGTGACAAGATTAATAGACTCAAAGGTCAAAAGTTCTGAATAAGACAAACATTATTGATGAGTGGTAATGCTCAAAAGTCAATTAGCGCATCGAACCTGGCATATGCAAATGTGCCATAGCACAAACGGGGATACTGACGGATGTTCACAGTGTCTATAACGAGTGGGTCCACCTTGTGCATTGATGTAGATCTGGCACCATTGCATCACTGATGCCACTCAACGTTCTTAAGTGTCATTCCGAGGAAGGATTTGGCGGTGTTCCCTGGAGGATTCGTATGACGTCGAGAACGTTGATTCATAATCATAATAATGATAATAATTCATGTATGTAGCGCCTAGTATCCATCTGACTAGTTGCTCACTGAGAATCTGATTATCATTACCCCGGATAACCCAAGCTGCCTGTTAGGCGCTAGAAGGTTATAGTCACATGACTTTATCCAACCGAGTACCCATCTTCTGCTGGGTGAACAAAGGCAATTTTGAACAATTTCACCTTCCTAAGGTGAGACCACATGTATCAGGACTGATGTCCAAGAAACTCTCAGGAGTCAAGCTGCCAAACACGGCCACCCATCCAAGGACTCTCCGTGCATGACTGATTCGTGACCTGAGCTCTACGCACAGGACCACACAACACAACTCCAAGTGTGTTCAATGGGAACAAATTCGAGGATATCGCTGGCCAGGATAACACTTTAACATTGCGCTGATTAGGATACTGCTGGTCAACTCGAGCAACATGTTTAACTGGTCATCAGGCTGCTCACCTTGCACGGAGGCCGTAGGCGCGTGGATGTCGTCAAACTGTTATCATAGATGCTCCAGTATTGTCAGGTATCGGTGCAAACAAAGGGTTGCTGGCTGGCCCCATGTTAACTTCACGGTTCAACTTCATTGGTCTTGACGTGGGGTTGTTACTGGTGGGTAACTAATACAGCCGTTATCTATATATTGACTGTTTTGCTAGAAAAACGTCGCCTTAAGTACCAAATAGTAATTCTTTGGACGTTGAATGGACGATATCTATCTACATCTCTCCATCTGGCACGTTCCTCGAGGCGTGACTTTGTTCGGCTTCAGTTTTGGTGAGATATTCTCCTTTGATAGGTTATCCGACTGGTTATTGGCTCCGTCTTGTTATTTGCATTGCCTTGCACATGACATCGTACGCTTGTTTATTCTTTACACAATTCTGTCGTCTGCTATTTCAACAAATGCCCGCAATTTGGGTGTGATCTTTTTAAGATTCGTATCACTATTTTGAGATACTATATTGACGGTTAAAGTGTTTGCTCGTCCTGCAGAAGACACGAGTTCGATTCCCAATATGGGGACAATGTGTGAAGCCCTTTTCTGGAGCAAGATGTTTAAATCCTAAGTTTGTTAACTTTTACACATATTTTAGTCATATGTGTGTTAAATGTGCCTCGTTTCCACAGAAAGGACGGCATCCAGGATACAGTCATGGACTGAAGACATGGTGGAGACAGACGCCCTCAAGAAAGTGAAAGAGAAGCTGGACAGAGGAGCGACCTGGGTGACAATTAAAGGAAGACCAGGAGAGGGTAAGTCCACAACAGCCTACATGGCTCTCAAAGATCAGGACAGTCAAGGGAGACAAGTATACCAAGTGGTGTCACCAGAGGAGTTCAATGAGGTGATAACGGCCTGCGCTAATCCTGTCATTATGTTGGATGATATATTTGGTGATCTGGACTTCGACGCTGCACAATGGACCAGGTGGAGACCAAGTCTTCGACCTATTCTGGATGTTAAGCATCCTGACAAATATGCTGACAAAGATGCTTTGGGTATTTCTACCAAACCTGAAAAGGTTCTAGAGAGGACAAAAGTTGGTCAAACACAGGTGAAAAGTCCAAACAAAGACAAAACTGTCATTATCCTCGTAGGCCGTGACTATGTGCTGAATTCCTCATTGGCAGACTTGGGAAGGATGGCAGATTACATTTCTAGTCCCCAGTACTTGGTGGAAGTTTCCTCACAGAGAGGCTCTTATGAGCGAAGGCAGATATGGCGTGTTCATGCTGGAACAAAAAGCATACACTTTGAAGACTCAACTGTGTCTTCGATATGTGAGATAGACTGCCCACACGGCTTCCCCCATGTCTGTAAAATGTCTGTCGCAGCATATGAAAAGGATTGGACTCCACTTCAAACGCAGATGTTGTTTCAAGCACCACTGGATTTCCTCAGAATGACTCTGGAGAACTTTGTTAAAGATGGGATAAAGCGTTCTCTGTTCATGGCTATGATTAAAAGAGATGGGAAGATTAGTGGACACGACTTGGAGGAGGATGATAACCTCGGTTATGAAGGCAGAGCAGCTGCTGATGATATGGTTGGATCTTACCTCAAGAAGGAAGGTGACACCTTCGTGTTTGATCATCCGTCTATATATGACAGTGTTTCCTTTATTCTCAGTACAAAGCTATCGAAGTTTGTCATCAACAATTGTAGTTTGTCCTTTATAAATCAACGACTTCGTCTTGCACCCTCCATAGAAAAAGAGAAAACAGTTGCCTGTGAGACAGGCGTGGTTGCAAACATCTCGTGGACGTATGCTGGACATTTAGCAAGAAGATTTGCATCTGAAATTGAACGGAGCAATTTGTTATATGTTTTATCACACCAGGCATGTTGTAATGCAGACTTTGTTGGCTTGCTAATGGACTGCCTGAAGACCCGGTTTCACATGCGTGCATCTGATATTGTGAAACTAACTGATAACTTATCAAAGAAGTCATTTTGTGAAGTACTGTCCAGCAGCAAGTCAGATCATCTCATCAAATATATTATGGAGACAGAAAATATCTCATTCACCCAGAGTGAAAGAAGGGACCTTTTACTGGGTGTGTGCAGGAATGCTGCCTGCAGTGTACTGAAATATATCAGTGGGCATATGGAACTTGACGTAAATGCTAGATACGGTTGGAGAAAGGTGACGCCGCTTATGTTGGCAGCAAAAACCAGGGACAGTGAGTTTGTCAATCAGATTATATCTCTTCATCCTGACCTGAATGCAAGAGACAAGTTCGGTCAAAGTACGTTTTATTATCTTTGTGAAAGTGGCCTCACATCAGCTGTGGCCCATGCAATTGACATGGGAGTGGAAGTTAGTCAGGACCATGGGTCAGATGGACACCCTCTATACCATGCCATAGAGGAAGGTCATTTAGAGATTGTGAAACTGTTGGTTAATAGAAAATGTGATCTAGATAACCAGAAAGGTCTTGCATGTGCTGTTAGGAGCCTGAACGCGAACATGCTACGTTATTTTCTAGACAGAGGAGCAGTGATTGACGGCAGTGTTGTGTGCAGAGCTTGTGAGGTCGGGCACGGAAATATATTCGAGATGCTGTTTGAGAATGGTGCTACTGTTAATACAGTGTTACCTAATGGAGACACTCCTCTACTCAGTTCATGTGAAGGAAACCCAACAGTTGTCTCGTGTTTGCTGAAGAAAGGAGCAAGTGTCAATCAAGCTTCAAATGTTACAGGTGACACACCACTTCATAGAGCAGCAAGACGGGGATCTACACAGTGTATTGATGTCTTAGTGAAGGCTGAGGCTGATGTTAATTTACAGAATAATACAGGTGACACACCACTTCATAGAGCAGCAGGAAGGGGATTTACAGAGTGTGTTGATGTATTACTGAAGGTTGGAGCTGATGTTAATGTACAGAATAATACAGGTGACACATCACTTCATGCAGCAGCAGCAAGGTGGGTATCTACAGAGAGTATTGACGTGTTACTGAGGGCTGGAGCTGACGTTAATGTACATAATAGTACAGGTGACACACCACTTCATAGAGCAGCAGCAGCAGTGTGGGAATCTACAAGGCATGTTGATGTGTTAGTGAAGGCTGGAGCTGATGTCAATGTACAGAATAATACAGGTGACACACCACTTCATAGAGCAGCAGCAGCAGATATTAGACCTTCAGAGCGTGTTGATGTGCTACTGAAGGCTGGAGCAGATGTTAATGTACAGAACAATACAGGTGACACGCCACTTCATAGCGCAGCAACCAAATGGAGATCTACAAAGAGTGTTGATGCGTTAGTGAAGGCTGGAGCTGATGTTAATGCACAGAACAATACAGGTGAAACACCACTTCATAGAGCAGCAAGACTGGGATCTACACAGTGTGTTGATGTATTAGTGAAGGCTGGAGCTGATGTGAATGTACAAAACAACACAGGTGACACACCTCTTCATGCAGCAGCAGCGTGGTGGGGATCTTCAGAGTGTGTTGATGTGTTACTGAAGGCTGGAGCCGATATTAATGTAAAGAGTAATACAGGTGAAACACCACTTCATAGAGCAGCAAGACGGGGATCTACACAGTGTGTTGATGTGTTAGTGAAGGCTGGAGCTGATGTTGATATACATAGTAATACAGGTGACACACCACTTCATAGAGCAGCAAGACGGGGATCTAAACAGTGTGTTGATGTGTTACAGAAGGCTGGAGCTGATGTTAATGTACAGAATAATACAGGTGACACACCACTTCATACAGCAGCAGCAGAGTGGGGATCTACAGAGTGTGTTGATGCGTTGCTGAAGGCTAGAGCTGATGTAAATGTACAGAATAATACAGGTGACACACCACTTCATAGAGCAGCAACGTGGGGATCTACAGAGTGTGTCGATGTGTTAGTGAAGGCTGGAGTTGATGTTAATGTACAGAACAATACAGGTGACACACCACTTCATGCAGCAGCAGCAGAACGGGGATCTACAAAGTGTGTTGATGTGTTACTGAAGGCTGGAGCTGATGTTAATGTACAGAGTAATACAGGTGACACGCCACTTCATAGAGCAGCAGCAGGATGGGGACCAATAGAGTGTGTTGATGTGTTGCTGAAGGCTGGTGCTGATGTTAATGTGCAGAATAATACAGGTGACACACCACTTCATAGAGCAGCAGCAGAACGAGGATCTACAAAGTGTGTTGATGTGTTACTGAAGGCTGGAGCTCATGTTAATGTTCAGAATAACACAGGTGACACACCACTTCATAGAGCAGCAAGATGGGAATCTGCAAAATGTGTTGATGTGTTAGTGAAGGCTGGAGCTGATATCGATGTGCAGAATAATACAGGTGACACATCACGCCACATAGCAGCAAGATGTGAATCTACAGCGTGTTTTGATGTGTTACTAAAGGCTGGAGCCGATGTTAATGTACAGAACAATGCAGGTGCCACACTTCATTAAGCAGCAAGACGGGGATCTATATCACTGCGATAGTTGCTAGATTAAATAGACATTCATGGATTTCAATGATTAGGGCAGAAAATGCGGTATCTAAATGAGTGTGAAGGTAGTATTGTCGCACTAACTGTGATATCTGTAACTGAAATATTAATTTACAAGCTGTTATATGGCAACAGACATCCATTGTTACACGTGGTTAGTTGCAGGCGATCACAATCTCAGGCTATTTTAACCAAAACGTCCGGTGAAGTCCGGGCGTCTCAATACTTCCATGTTATGTCGTTCATCTCTGATAAAGAAACCAACATTGAAGTTTGTTGGAGAGATTGAGAATTGTCAGATTGTTGAACAGATTGTCCGTAGAGCAGTTTTCTTTGACAAATACGAGAGCAAAAAATATAGACAAAACATTGTATTTTGCAGGAGTCGGCTAGCAAATTGAAAAAAAAAATGTAGTTCAAAGGTGAAAAACATGTAATTGTATAAACACACAATTACATGGAATATTTTTCGATCAAGCACAAATACTTTAGCATGAAAAGCTTAACTTTTGCTTGTGTTTGTATACAATAGGAATACGAATATAGAAATTGGGAACAAGTATTATTAAGTCTCCGGACATAGAGAAAATAATCAGGTACCAAAAGGAAGTTAATCCATGCATGTTACTTTTGATGTAAGTTGCGGCTCTTAAAATGGACGTTATCTTGTGAGTTTGATTCCTTGATAAATTACAAGTATGTTTGAAGTGTTTTCATAGTGTGTGTTTTGTGTTCATACATTCTGAATCAATAATTTATTACAGTTATTTCCCTTGAACTAGAGATTCTGAATAGTGTATTTTGACGTTAATGTGCACAAGTAGTGTTCTAACATGAAACTATTTGATTGTGTTATGGCAACTGAAATTATGCATACATGCACATAGGGGTGCATCGGTGATATAATACCATGAAATAATTCTGGTGAACATTACACAGTTTTCGTATATTGATATAAAATCCGATTGCAGCAGTATCAGTCCTGTATTTGCCAGGTCTTAGTTCACTATGACTTTATACAACTTTTGAATGACACAGCTATGTTAAGTGACTTTACTAAAGGAAAAGAGATTTGAGACCGTTGTTGAGTAGTATACACAATAGCACAACGGGATCAAGTCCTTCCCAAAGCCTTAATTAACCTAACTAAGGCTTTGTGAAGAACCTAATCCCGTTCCGCTATTGTCTATACTACTACTACGGACGTACATGCAAAGTTTCACGAAAATCGGTCGAATAATTTAGGAAATATTCGCTTTTTTTATTGAGCATGGGGTCAGTCTGGCGAAAGGCTAAGAATCCAACTTATTGCCGTACTTGTTCATAGTAGCAAGGCGACTGAGAGCATGAAAAAATATTTAGCAAAATATCCGCTGCGGTCACAACCCCAACGAGGGAGAAAGAAATAGTTAGATAGATGCGACGCACAAGCTTCCTCCCTCGTGGGATTACATCCAACTGCGAGCCTCAGATAACCTTACTTGTTGTTTCGGGAAATCTTGAGAGGCCGGTCAAACTCACAAATCGCACAGTTGCGCGGCTGCACGAAAGCAAGCTTGTCCCTGCAGTTTAGCGGATTGAGCCACCACGGCTTAAGTTGGACTCGGCAATCGATTTCCCTAGTCTATGTTGAGCGAGCGCTGTGGGCGAGTGTGACAGAGTTGACAGGTCACGGTTCACAAGCTCGACTATTCATCTACAGCTCGCTGAGCTGGCTCGCTGGCTTGCTGGCTATGTGTAATGATAGGTTTGGACCAGGTCCCTCAAAGTCATATTTTTAACGATCCATTGCTCCCGCGGGAGTGTAAATATATGGTTGGAATGATGGTGGACCGTCTCTCTATCGCCAGGTGTACAGCTCGGATCGATAAGTAGCTCTCATTCGCCAAATACTGTCAGTGGGTTTCATAGTGTGATGGTAACAGAGTTTGGTTCATAATACTGAGGCCCTGAGTTCGAAACACAGTAATAGCCAAAACGTTTACGACCTGGATACCCTAGCCATGTGACAGGAGGTTATGTAGGCCAGACGTTTATGCAAGAACCACTTAGATACCCTACACTGACTGCATAGCCACCATGGCTCTGATAGCTGGATGTTAAATTAACAGTGGGTGAGACAACATGACGAATGTAGGCTGTGAAATTGGAGTTTATTGTTGATGGCTGATATCACGAGAAATACAACTCTGACATATTGACGGGCTAGCTAGGGCTTGATTCATGCTACATGATGCGCGTTTGCATCTGCATATACATTCCCAGCATACCGCTACTAATAGTTTCTTCACAAACTGACAAATCATGAGAACTATCAAACAGTGGGCGATCGATAAGTGACTCGTTACACTGTGTCGTGAGGTACAATTTGTAATTCTTCCTTGACAAATGGTCTATTGGGCCCGTCTTTCAAGTAGTACAAGATCGGTTCACCGTCTTTGATGTCGACCAGGCCGACGTTGTCTCTTGCCCAAGAGTCTGGTGACTTCGTTGTTGATGGCAGCCACCACTTGCGGCAAGCGTACGACCCATTCCGTATTTTTGTTTCCGGGATTGATTAAATCCTGTGTGTACTGGTGTGAGATAGGCGTTCGGCTAAGGTGCGATTGAATCTCTTGACGATGGCTGGGCCAGCAGCTGTGACACGGCTCCCATGAATACGCATCCTCGGATCGATTTGCAATATGACAGGAAAGGTCAAGCGACTGCGTTTGTATATACGTTCTAAGATTTTGGCGACTTTGTTCGATTCTATCGTCGTCAGCGATTCGGCTGCTTTGTAGCGACTTGCGACACTGACGATTGTCAGGGCGTACTTGTAGGTTTTACGGCTCACCCTGTCATGAGGTAGAAACAGGAGGTCAGCTTGATGCACGCGATTCGGCGTCGAAATGTCAAATTTCTTCTCGGGATGTACCGAGGCGCCGACAGGTAGACTTGCCAGATAGCTTGTTTTTTTAAGCCGGCTTTCTCTTCTTAGACTCGAGCGGCTTTGGTGAGTTTCGGGATGGCGTCCCCGCCTTTCCAATACCCACATGGGCTGTAATAAATTTGCTCCATGTATGTATTGTGTGGAGATGTACTCTCAAAATACCTTTAGACTAATCCTCTCTATAGAACCGGGGCGGTGGTTCAGCCTAATGGTTAAAACGTTGGCTTGAAAGACCCGGGTTCGAATCTAATGGGCCAATTTGTGAAACCCATTTCTGGTGTCCCACGGGATGTTGTGGAATTCACCGGCGTAAAACCAAACTGAGTCAGTCAAGAACGTTGAAGCCGCGTTTTGTTTCCCCGACCATTTTAACATTATTTCAAGTTCAAATCCTAAAATTCGTTCCTAAGATTACAAGAGTGAAAGAATAACTTTTGCCCCTGAAAATATGTGTTTTTCTCATTTAGTTTGCATTACAAGTGAGCCATTTCTTAGAAGCCGTTTCAGTCGTTTAAAATAAAAACAGGAAACTGTTGTGTCCATGACGACTGGCATCCAAAGTCCCCAGTCTCCCTGACAACCATCCAAATTCACTATCAATTGCTATGCATCTAAAGTTGAAAACGATCATAACCATAGCCAAGTCATTTTTACCCGTCTTAAATATCATGATATGATAAACCTCTGAACAAGTATATTGAGTTCCCAAAATGGCTGTTCCCATGAATGATTTACTAACCTCATGTTTTCAAGAAACATTAAAAAAATACGCTTAAGGCCATTACCCTTTGCACGGTTGATACTACCAAATGTTCTTTCTGAGGACACCTTAAAATACATGTAATGTCAGTGTTTTATTTCGTTAGGAGATAAACCTAGTGCGTTTGAAAATCAGAGACATGCTTTACTGAATTGATGGCGACTAAATTTCAATGGGAACCGAACGCCAAATTTCAATTGGAACCGAACGCGTAGCGTGAGGTTTCAATCAAACTACTGTTTATTCAGTGCAATTCTATGTAAAATACCCGAGATCTTGTGGGACGAGAGGCGAATTCATCTCAACTCCATTACGACTAAAATATTCCAGCCTACTGTTTATTCAGTGCAATATGCCGTCTTGGGGTTTTCATCCCAACTCCACGACTAAAACCAGCTTATTTTTTGTGTGCCGTGAAACTGTACCCCTGGCCATAATGGAATCGCCGGACCTACTTATTTTCTTCAAAGTAGACAGTTACGCAACAGCTTGAAATGGCGGACGAGCCAGTGTTTACATTTTGCGAAAGGTTGAAATTTGAAGTGACAGTGGACAATACTTGACTAACTGTCGAATCTGAACCCTGCAGAATCGAAGAATAGATCCTTTCCTGATCAACCTACGACCTGTAACTCATCAAAGACTGTTGATTTTTATGACCGGCCAATCATGATTTCACGTACTGCCTCTACCCCGGCATGCGACAAATGAGTGACAATGCTGCTGCTTAGTGTACATGCGACTAACTTGTGATTCCTTGGAACTTTGTTTCCATCGTTTGGGACTGGACTGTGTCCAAGCGTTTTCAAAGTAGATAAACATAACCGTGACAACCTTGCGGGAAGCTGGCAGAGTGCAGAATTATTTTGTGAACGATGCAACGTATATGATAGAGTAGGACTATGAGTGGCATAAATGTGGTGTTTCGCCAGACCGTTAGATCTATCTTGCAAATTTCCCATTCTAAACGGAATTAAATATACCATTTACCATGTAGGCAAATGTGTACTAATGTTTTGTTGCATATTTTGTATAGATAGGGATGTATTTTATACAAGGCCTTCTGATTTATATGTTAGATATTCTTTTGTTTATGTTTGGGGCTGTGTTTTTTATGATAAAGGTAATATGATAGTGAGGTTCCCTCATAATTGTTGGGATCATATAATTGTATTTTTCGAGTTTAAATAAATGTTTTATCAGCATTTCCATCACGTATGTTGTGTTGATATTAGTCATGTTGGTGGTCAAGCTGAAGTAGTGCGGC